AGTGAAAGGAGATCCGTAGAAATGCTGGCATAGAATGGGTAATTGGACGAGCTGTCCAAATGTGTGTACCATTGCGTACAGCTGAGTGCAGTAAGCTGCCTGCATAGAACGTGCGTGCCCTGGTGCGGGTGGTGCAACCTTGTAAGCCTCTACAACGCCATAAGAACTCACCCACCTTGGGGTGTGTACGACGAAGCCGGTTTTGGGACTCTTATTGCGCCCTATCTAGGTCATTTTTCGACCCAACAACGTCACTTATGCTACCTTTGGGGGGCAAGAATTCATCTTAGTGAGTAATAAGGAAGCGGCTTTTTGTCGGGATCTGAGCCTTTGAGCTCATTCATCAGGAGAACTTTGAACAACTGTTTACCTAATGCAAAAACTAACCATAACCTGTCTCGAAATGTCTTATTTCAAGAGATAATTCATGAATTTACAGAGGACGCCAACAATTAGAAGTGATCACTTTATTGATTAGCTATAAAATTCTTTATCCAGAATGCTTCTTCATTCTTCGTGGGAATCATGAATGCAAAATCATCAATAAGGTATTTTCCCATCTCAATCATCTGAGAAAGATAGAAATTATTTGGTAGCCCGACATTTTGTTCATCGATTTCCACATTACACGGCTCATATCTGAGTGTTCACGTTCAGGAGATCAATACTGATATGAGCACAAAGGAAAGGGCAAGCCCATATCGACGCCTATTCCTCAGTTAGACGTCGAAAGTCTGTATTAAAAGTACTTCTGAATAAGAAGTGATATTAGGGTATTCAGAAAGTATCTACCAAAGCTGTTCCGGAGGTCTATACGGAATAAAGTCATCGTCTCCGCGCTAGATTCTTTTTTCAATGGAACTTACGAAATGGAATGGAATGGAATAAGCAGGGTGAAAAGCTATCCTAGTTTATCATGTCGACCCGCACCATCCATGGTAATTCGCGCTTCCAGAAGCCCGCCCATTTGCGATGGACTTGAGAATCACCTAGTGGACAGAATTTGTAAGAGGATTCCGTTAGCGACAACATCGACGAAAAATAGAACTGGCTCGTCGAACATCTTCACAATAGTGCCAGGAAAGCAGAGAGTCCCCAAGTGTGCAAGAGACACCTATCTTTGGAGACTCTCAAGCTGACGTCTACCTGCCTACCTGCCATCATAGGCAAGACGAATATATCGCTCCTTCGGTTCCCCCATCCGAAATTTGTCATGTCATCACGACGATGGAGAATTGTACGGCGCCCGGTACCGATAGGATCGAACCGGAACTTCTGAAGAGCCTCCCGCCAGTCATTGTCGAAACGCTGGATTGGCTCTTCACGCGGTACCTATCGGGATGCAAAGTACCTACGCCGAAGAAAACTGGCAATACCGTGTTGCTAGATAAAAAGGGAGATCCAGACGATATTGGCAACTACTGCTCAGTCTGCCTGCTGGCTTTAACCCATGGACTTTTCGAACGAGCTATCCTTAACAGGATTGGCAGAATAGTGGATGAAGGACAGCCATGAGAGCAAGCAGACCTTCCAAGGTGGTCTAAGCTGTCGTCCCACATGGCCAGTCGGTTCAAACTGGCCAGCTCAACCCAGGGTATCCTAGACAGTGCAACACTTCAAAGGATAGCCAACCACCTGCTCACCTCTTCTCACGATAGAAAGACGACTCATCTTGAAAGTGAAGTCTCACAGAATCGTTTATGGTACCATGGGTGACGAAGCTCTGTGGAATGCAGAAATCCTTAGCATTTCAGTTTTAATTAATGAATATTTTCAGGTTTACGGTTTCTATGATGAGTGCAAACGACGCTACTCTATAAAACTGTACTACGTCTTCCAGGTCGAACACGCGTTCAATCTTATCTTACTTATGGTGGAATTGTTAAGTTGCAGGATCTGTTTGATTCGTTGCCGCTATGCTCATTAGTTAGTGGCCGAATTCTGGGAATGCATGGAGGCCTCTCGCCGAAGTTGACGTCCTGGTCAATGATGGACGATATCGCACGACCTCTCGATCCTGAGGATAACTCGTTAGCAATGGTTCGTTTATGTTGAAGTCAATGCCTTCTTCCCAGAGAGAACTCACTTTTTTGTAACGAATGGTTGCTACTGGGTTATCCGGGAACGGTTTCGTCCTGCACGAATTTGCCTCCCTTTACTGCGGTACTTTCGTTTGAAAGGCCGTTTATGTAAAGCTTTGTGCCTTGAAAGCAAATTTAAAAATATTACAAGAAACATTCATATGTCCCAGACTGTAAACAGCAAGAAGCCACCGTAAAGTCTGAGCGTATTCGAAATTCAGGACTTGTTATGGGCGGATCCCGATAATTATACCCAAGGATGGGCAAGAAACACACGCGGAGTTTCATATGTTTTCGGAACTGATGTGGTGAAAAAATTCTGTCGCGATATGGACCTGGATTTGGTGGTCAGGTAGGCGTGCCGTAACAGTTCTGAGGACACGAAGGAGATTGACTGGGACAATGTACTTAAAGCCCGTGCTAGTCACTCAGACGAATTCACTATTCCTGATTACAGAGCGCACCAAGTGGTCCAGGATGGCTACGAATTTTTCGCCGATCGACGTCTCGTTACTATATTCTCGGCCCCAAAGTATTTTCGCTCTTTTCTCTTCAGGATGTTCTATTACTCCATGAGCTCCGTTTAAAGTGTCTATCGTGTTGGCCAAATCTATGCTGCCGTAGCTTTTCTGTAAAGCGTTCTCCTCTGTCTTCAATAAGGGCAGACTCCCCGCCATCTCTGCCACTTCTTTTCATTTGAGCGCAGTCAGTCACTACCTTTTTGACAGTGTGTGACGTAAGTTGAAGCTCATCCTCTGTCATCTGTATAGTGTGTGGTTCATCCTAAACTGTACCTCACCATCATAATAGACTGCCAATGATTCTCGCTTGCGTTGCCTATCCCGTAACACTGGGCAGGCTTTCAGTGCTTCTTTCCATAGCCAAAACTAAACTCAGCGTTTCACAACAACCACTCAAAAATGAGGAAGTTCTCTCTGAATGATTGATCAAAGGCTTGGCCAAATAATCAAGACCAGTGCAAAATGTGGGCACTATTACAGTTTTAAAAGTTTTTGAATTACGAGAAATCTCCGTACGACGTTTACGTAATCACGCCGCCCTACAATGAAAAGGCGATGACGTGGGCGGGATTGCACCCGGAAATAAAGGGATGTAGCTGTAGCTTCCGAAACATTAAGAAAAGGCACTCGATAGCGCGACTGAGAGACCGCATCATTCATTTACGCATTCGTCTGGGGTGCTGAGAAGCACTCTGAACAAGTATGGGCCTGAAAGCGTTCTCGTTGTCATCCTGCTGTAACTAGGTTCATTGCAAGTGTGACGATTGTAGCACCCCTATTTCATACTCATCCGAGACCGACAGCACCCCTCTGCGGGGCAACAAGGCACATGTCTTCTCCGTCGTCAGCCTGCTGATATTACCATTCACTCAACTCTTTCTTTTCTTTCTATTCCATCAAAGAGGGGAATGGATTAAAAAGGCTCTGCCTGTTGTAGTCGGCGAGAAAGGTAAGACATGGTTGACAACAGGGACGGTCCAAAAACTTCCAAAAAGGGAACTGGTTTGGAGCACGCCATTTTTCTGATTCCCTCCATCATAAGAGGACTACTTCAGATATTGTGGCGAATTCGATAACAACGCAGCTGTGATGATAGTAAGCAAGAACCTGGTTAGTTTTGAATTTCGTCCCATTCCAAAGTCAGACAATACCGGTAATCTTCCTGGCCAAAGACAACTTCTATTGGAAGGATAATATTTCTATGTCTTGGCAATCTCTTTTGCTCAGAGCCGTCAAGTCAGAGTCAGAGTTTCAGGAGTGTTCATTCGAAGTTCTCAAAGCCATGGACAACCCACCCAGAGTGAGAGCGCGCCTCAAACACTCGAATGCTCTACCTCTTAATAAAATGAAACGTAGACGAAAGAAAGTATTGAGGGGCAGCATGTCGGCCGAAATGGACAAGTAGGGCGCCCATTAATATGGAATCAACTCGAACTACGGAAATCGTCAAAAGGTTTCGATAATAAATCGATTAAATATTTAAAATGTTAACGATAGCGAGACAAGAGATGGAAGTTATGAGAAATTTCGTACTTTATTATATTGCAGTAAAATTCCCGTAATATATAATCATACACATATATGGAAAGTTGCATCACAAACCACATGAAGGGATATACGCAAAGGCAATGATGACTATTGAACACAAGGAAACCCCAAGATTAAGAAACCATTGCGAATACCAGTAGAGAAGAACATTAAGGAAAAAATAATAGAAAGATAAATATGAACCCAATGGACCATGCACATATTTGTACCTTCACTGCGCAACAACAAATGCCGGAAAAATTTTGACGCTCAGATTTTTCATCAATATTGAGAACTGTCTTAAAACGCGATTCAATATTCGTAAACAATGATCTTTTACAAACGATGTTGACAGGATGGGTAAATAAGTGAGAGAAATATCCAAAAAAATTCCAAGAAAATTATTAGACGGCAAATAAGAGTAACAAATAAATAAACAGTACAACTTAACTCATTGATAAAACTCAGTCCACACAAACTTTTGCAGCGGTTCATCTATATTACATCTAGTCAGGGTGAGGTCGCCTGGTCTAGGCTTGTCCACTGTGAGGCAAGTCCGTGAACGAGTATAGATTATGTGACCGGTCTCCTAAAATGTCATTTAATTTCCTTTTACATATGCAAAGATACTCCAACCAGATTTTTCAGTTTTAGGATGTTTTCACAAAAGCAACCTCTTTCTCCCAACATGTCTATTCATTCTCCACGCTCTTGTTTAGCCCACGTTCTGGTGGAGTCGGAATTTGCATAGCTCGTTTGTTTACACTTGATTGACCAGCGTTCCTATCATACAAGACTAGGAGTGAGAAAAGATAAAGGATAGTCTTTCAGCGCGGTTTTGGGATGCGCCCCGGACTCTCATTCGGAGCCATAGGTATGTGACCACAATGACATGCGGTGACCAACTGAGTGTTGCGCATGTACGTGCTTTTTTCCTCCAAGACGAGTTTGATCCCAATAAACCGTCCCGGCAGGAATGAAAAGCTTCAATCGGCCAAGCCAGTGTAGACCCTGGATCTGGTCTTCAAACCTTACGTTTGAACGCCACTTTCTTAATACCACCTCTAAGCCAGGGTAAGACTGAGGTATCCAAAATTGTAAATCACGCAAGGAACGAACACCGAAGGACCTGCTTCGAACGGAACCTTAGTAAGATACATTCCCGGCAAAAATACTTCGTGTCACGTCATATAAAGTACAAAAAAAAAGTAGAATTACACAAGTTGCAGAATCTCACTCACCTCATCGTATGCCCAAGGACCGTTGACTGTACCTTTAACACAGTGATTAGCTTCAACACGGACGCCTTTCGGTGTTAGGCACCACTCCCCTTGCGCCAGTTGTCCTTCCGTGTTCAAACGAAGGATCTAAAACTTAGAATCTATATAACCATGAGGAACGGCCCATCGACGTCATTCCTCAACCCCCATAGCACCGAACATTACTCGCCACCATAAGCCGAACGATTTGAATTTTCTTTAATAACCGTTCAATATATGTCTCGGCGCATCCACAGAACCACTACAGCACATTGAAATACGATCATTAAAAAACTATCCCGATAATACACTCGTGAAATATAGAAAGAGACATACTTGGTTGCCACCGTAGCCATGACAGCCGTTGGCACCGAGAGGACCAGGGATGCCACCCATTCGATCCAAGCATTTACCTTTAAAACATTGATGCACAAATTATTATTATTTATAATCATTATTTCTACATGACACTCCTCTAAAAGAAAGCGCTGAACAAGAGAGCGCTTCAAAGCATAGATTGGCAACTTACCCGTGTGAGGATTGCGAGCCTCCCCCCAGACTTTATTTTTTGGAGGTATTGGATAGCTGGGCAGGACATCGTACGCTACCTTTTCCATGTACCTAGAGAAATGCAATTCAATATCGAACATTATCTGAAGCTTGGAACATCAGCAAGGGTAAATTAATAATGATTATTAAACCCACCATTTGAACGGCTTACAATGAAGGCGCTCTTTCAAAGCCAGCTGAGCACTTATATCTCCTGGATCCACGTGCTGAGCTTGAGGTTCACGGATGAAGTAGTACTCTGCATATTCATCCATCCACGTTCGGATCACCCTTAGCATATTCTGCAAATAAGTCGTACTACACAGACTCAAAGTGAGCTTTAACTGATTTTCAAATCAATGTGTTGGGTATCGACAGCACCCCTACTCAAAAGAAAACCACACAACGACAGATCGAATGAATAAGGGATTTATACTTACTGTGGCAATAATGGGCTTTCCTGAGAGCTTCCCAAACGAGTAGGGCATGTGTGATCTATAAACATGTCCAACATGGGAGCAAGGCACAAACAAAATGCCACCTCCACATTGCCATATCTAAAAAAGTAAGTTCTTATAGGTTCAGCTCGATACAACCAGTTATAACTGCAGATGTCAAGCCATACATCAGACAAGAATTGCACATGAAAAACAATTGTTAAGCTCAAACAACCGAGTTTTGCCATTCGGTGCTACATGAAAAAAAATATTCAGTACTATAAAAGCACTGACGATTACAAAAGTCATAAAGAAGTCGTAACAAACAAATAAAATAGGAATATATGAAAGATGTGTTTTGCTACCATTTCTCATGAATTATTCGTCGAATAGCTAAGGCAAGACAGAAACGAATAAAGCGCAATGGCTGATGAAGGTCCCTGCAGTGTTCTTTTCCAAACAAATCTCAGCGACAATTACTAATAGCTTGTACATAAGTTTGCGCCATACTGTGAAAAGATAGTTGCGTGACTTTAGAAATGGCACATGCAGTTCTGTACGTAAGTTCTTGACATTTTCCCGGAAATGGTATTACATAGTCATCAAGCGCTTCTAGAACCGAATCGGTAGTTTTCTTTGAGAATTCAAACGTAATCCCCAACGTGTGCCACCAGAACTCATGCTCGAGCTCATTTCTTACTCGTGAAGAAAAGACCGACCTTGAAGCTTAATTCGTACTGTTCACCACCCCAGATCTGAAGGCCTTCGTCGTAATAACCTAGTTCTTGGAACCACAGTCGGTCGATAGCGAACAGACCACCCGCATGGGTTGGAGAGCTAAACAGTACGAATAAAAAAACAGAACAATAACTACAAAAAATGATGACAAACATTCGTTGAGTAAAAGTAACTCACCGAAAAGGCATGCTATTGTGAGGTCGACTATTTTTTTCAGCGGCAGAAATGGCTGTCTCCTTATATAGAAGTCCCCACTCGAATATACCGCTTAAAAAGCCTCTTTCAGAGGTCACAGTAAGGAAAACGAAAAAGAAAATCAAAAAATGAGGCAACCAACTAAAACTCTTGAACCTAAATCAACAAAGTCTTTTCGAAAAAACGAACCTGAAATGGCGATCCGCTTGTCCATAAACGCTGCGATATTCCCATGTGTTCGAATCGATCCCATCAATTACTGGCACAGTCATGACCCGCCTACAACGAAATAGTTTATAAAATGATCTATACAAATCAAAAGGCCTCAAAAACCATTTTTATTAATCGCATTTATCTCACAAAAAAGCCGATTGCGCTCACCTATTATGTTTGATGGGAGCTAGCAAAGGCGGAAGCCAGTTCACGTTCACCTCGCAATGGGCGTCAAGAAAAATGACAACATCAGCCGTCGAATGCTTCGCTCCAATCGTTCGAGCACGAATCAATCCTTCGCGATCCTCTGTTCGAACTAGTTTCACCTTCAATTCAAAAACAGTGATGCGAGTTTTACAGAGTACATAGCATTCCATAGCAATGAAAATATCCGCAGCCATCGTTTAAAAAAACAGCATTTATTTAGCCGTTCATGAGCCAACGGCGTCGTTTTAACAATGTCACCTAAGACAATGCTCTCATGCACTTCACTTCTCAAAGAACAAGTGGTAACACCAAAACATGCTGGCTCTGCCACGAGCAGCCTCCGATCCCGATCTCAAACTGATACAGAATCTGTGTGGCATCACTACAAAGAAGATTTATGCTGATAATCGCGAGTTTTAGCTAATATTAGAGCTCAAGCAGACAACCATTGAAGTTTAGAACGTATTCGCCAATGAAACTTCGACATTTCAATTCCTACATGTCATGGAAGCTATTAGATGTTATATCAAAAACAGTAAGAGCTACAAATACTTAGCTGTTTTGTGTTTAGAGTGATAAATTTTCACTACCATAGGGTGACCATATACTGATCAAGCTGAAAACTGAAAAGCAAAACTGAAAATTATACTTAAAAGCATTAAAGTGGAGCATGATTCAAGGTGATGAATCTGTTAGCTGCCCTCAAAACACAGCTTATTCTGGAAACGCGAATTTGAGGGCAACCCTATACTTACAGGCTAATCTACAGTGAAAATCCAACTATCTAAGGCACTTTTTGATCGGAAACCTTAACATGGAACTTTAGAACTACTCGTAGATTATATGGACTCACCTTGCCATCAAATCGCTTGACGTACTTGTCTAGCTTTTCCTTCAAATGTTCTGAAAACTGAAGATAAAAAAATATATCGTAAGGAAAGAAGCGTAAATTGGGCACACCTTTATCTGAGTAATCATCAACCATCACTATCTCTTTGATAAGTTGAGGTGGTGAGCGAAGTAACACGGAATGTACAGTCCTCAGCAATGGCGTCCAACCTTCATTATGGAAAACGATGACCACTGAGACGGTAGGAAGTGTCTCAGGATAATTCCAATGTTTGCATCTGCAATGACGACAGACACCACTATTGTATAAAAGTGTTTTGAATTAAAGGGTTCATGAAATGCCAAGGCAAGAGAGCCTGAGTTTAATTCACTTATGAAGAAAGAAGCTACATATAGCCATTTTACATGGTGATGCAGTGCCTAAATCCTCATAACCAAATCAGATCAAGGGCGCCTACATCGAAGTTCATTTTGGACCACCAAAAAGAAACAACTTAAGAAGAGACCACTTGATATCTCGTTTTTAATATAGAGGAGGTGAAGCACAAAAACCAGATAAGGGAAGTACTCCTCCTCGTATTTTGTTGATTAGCTAATCTTTTCAATGAAGTATGACCTACAGTCGTCAAATTTTATGAGTCTCCACCTAACATGATTGTTCAAATTCGCCTGGGCACATGAGAACAGACGGAACATGAGCAAAGAACAATTCTTGTGAAGGGAGCAGATTTAGTCAACAAAACAACCGGTCATTAAGAACAAATCACTGGCAAATATATGTGTCTGCGGATCATGAAAAGTATGAGCTGTCCATTCACTCAACTTCACCTTGGAAGGAAAAAAAANCTGCTGTATTAAATACTCACTCTTCCATTCGTATATCGGGAATAGTACGGTTCATAGAGATCATGTCACTGACATATGTATTAAAACCGTATTGCTGTTCAGCCCGCTTCGATTCCCGTAGACCCGCTTCATCAGTAACAAATACAGGCGCGCCGCCCTCACCTGAATTCACATGACGGTAATCAAAGCCGATAATGCGAATTGAATACAAACAAAAACGAGAGGATTGTCATGTGCGGTTTGTATTCACATCTGCTGCCATTGCGGGCTGACAAAAAGTTATAGACGAAAAATCGTGCCAAATAGTGGAGCTACTATGCGGCTGCCACTCTCGTGGGCATGAATAGGTAAAAAAAAAAACTAGGGTAAGACACCCGCCCTGGCATACCAAGCCTCACATTTCCCCTGGAGCTCATTGATGTGTAACTAACTAGACTGTTTATCTAACTGTAGCTTAAAAAAGGAAAAGTTTTTGGTGCTATTTTGTGCTCGGTAACAGTGCGCTGAATTTTGATTTTTTGAATGTATTGTCGCAGCAGTAATTATAGAGGAACCTAACATTAGGTCTACACAAATTCCGTCCGCTTCGTGTTAAGAGGGTTGGGTCAATGTGTTAAAATTTAACTCTTATTTCATAAAAAAGAAAGAGAAACTTTCATTTATTAAAATTATGTGTTAAGGAGTGGGGTTTCAGTTACTTCTACACAACAACTTTCAAACTTCCAACAGGCGCATGTCCATTTGACACAGTTTCAGCTTTCCATTTTCCTCTTAGGCCAGTCATAGTAATGTATCGCAAAGCAACATAACAAAGTTGATCCATGCAAACCAGCGACATTCAATAGTAAGGACCCCATACCATATTACCATAATCCCCAGCCCATTCAGCATTTAGGTCTAACCAAAAAATCCAGAATTGGGCTAAAAAGTTCCTCTGAATACTCCCTCATTCCCCTGTTACCACTTGTTTTTGCGCTTGAAAATATCCTCGGTAGACAGGAAAAGTTAGAAATGGAGACGATGTAAAATGGGTTTATAAAAGCATTAGAAAGCATATTTTTTACATCGAAAAATGAGCTTTTTTAAAACGAGATATACTATTTGATTTGACTTTGGCAAGAAGTTGCCAATAATCATGCATTACCATGGAGATTTGTTGGAAGTGATTGTAAGTCAGGCGATCAGCCAAGCTGATAAAGAAGGGGAGGGGCTGTGGGTCGCAAGGAAGGCCCACCGTATGCCGGACGACTCGACTGATACTTATATGTAAACTGAGAGGGTGCATTGTCTACAAAAGTAAGAGAGATCAATAGATGACAATAAAATAGCAACAGAGATTCGCCAATATTCAAACATGAGCGCACACACTCTCAGCGCATGCTCAATGGCATAGACTTTGCGGAAACAACGAGTAAGACCATCTCATAACTGGTTTGGTAACTCTTACAACACTACAGCATCGCGGGCCGCGAGTGTATTATTCAGAACAAAACCTGTCCGTACATTATAAGTGAAAAAAACTCAACAACAGAATAGGAGTTTCTATTGAAGGAGTAACAAAATACCTGGTTGGTTGGATGGTATCTCTGGCGACTTCGGTTCATAATTACCAAGCTCTTCACCAACGAAAACGGTGTTAGGATCTACACTGCCGGCTAGATCACTGTCTTTCCATGCATCTGGAAGCGGATTATCCACAGCGACGTGGTTCTTCGAAAACGTAATCTGAAACGTGAACAATCTCCCAAAATGTTGCAAATATGATGATCCAGCAAGAGCTTTACCCTATTTCTATCTTGCATATATACCATCACGAAGAAAACTAGAAATAAACACAGTCCAACCAGGAGTACGCGGCTGAACCTGAAATGGAAATTATCGCCTTGCGTCATCTTTTGGAGAAAGCAGCAAAGGGAGATGACTCCAGAGATGAGTTATAGTTAGCTCACCTCGTTCGGAAGAACCATTGTAACTCAATAAGCTTCCTACGAAATGTCATTTCCGTCAATTACCAGTTTTCCAGTTCCGTCAAGAATCCAGCTGAAATATTCCATCACAAAATTAGTCAGTGGCTGCTAGTAAATGCCCCTTCACAGAACTATGCCTTTGATACGATTAAATGAGCACTTGCAAAGTACGAAACCTCGCTAATACGGTGATAAACTGAACTCTAATCAACGTGGCCAAGCGCGATACGTAAAAACACTGCGAAAATGTCTGCAACTGCGTACGGCCCTCGATTACCGTAACCCTTACGCTTGGTCCTATTCGATCTCGAGCCAGCTGAGGTGTTAAGTTTAGGGGGTAGTGTACGTGAGCATGATTTCACACGATTGTCCTTAAGCATAGCTCTTCTCACTGGGAGCTTACAATGTGGGTAACCATCGATCGATATCAAGAAGTCGTTGACTCGGGCGACTTATGCAGGATTTTCGAGATCTGCACTATCATTCTAGGGGAATCAGGCCTTCCATCCCGCTAGTTGGCACCAGACATGCCTGAGAGGGCAAAAGCACTGACTTGTAAATAGGCTCTCCACCGCAAGTCATTGTATGGGTCACATATGCATTCAATATGCAGCTACAATTTTGAATGAAAGTCGAATGTGGGGCGCACCAAACGCCCAGAGGTTTAGTTTTTTGTCTTTATATTTCGGTCTACACAATTTCTTTCGTGTGTCTGACACTAAAGAAGCAGAGCATTCCCTCTCTGGGATTTGCTGTTCGACTTAGTGGGTCAACTAGTCCAGAAATAGTATTCGGCACAAGCATGTGTGTAGTTCTCTTATTCAAATGACGAAGGTTCGCATCCATGATGCACATACTCGCTTTCCTTTTACTTTTGTGTGAAGCTAGCAGAACCCCCAAATTGACTGCTAACATCCCCCACACTTGCGATAAAAACGCTTGAAGCATTTCCTACCTAGGACCCAGTACTGGCACCTGAGAAAGAGACTTGTTGTTTTTGTTCCTCTAGAATCGAACCTATAATGTCCCAAACCCTTTTGCAACGCCCACTGCCTAAAAATTTTACTTCTGCGAAACCAGTACATAGGAACTGTGAGTAACATCACATAATATGAGAGCGATGTTCCCGGTTCTTTCTGTAGGAAGGTGTAGGACTTGTCAATTAAACTACGGTAGATACTGCCCAAAGTCGTTGATATCATTGCTTCTGATGGAATTGGATTTATGCCAAAGTGGAGCAGCCACCAGTAATTTGTACGTCCAATTCGAGCAGCTAACTGGATTGGAGTCCGACCCTCTTTTTTCTTTTGAGATAGAGGAAGACCAGAACGAAACCTTTGAAACTTTTGAACAAATTGAAAGTGATGTCCTCTTCCCTTCCTACAGAAGGCAGATGACTTGTCGACAACTTAGAGAGTTCTACTCTACGGTAAATAGTGCCCGAAATCGCGGTTATTGCTGTTGATAGAATTCGGTTCCTGCTAAAGGGCGAGGAACCACCCGATAGTTCGCACATAACTCGAGCAGAAGATTCACGTACTTTGTTGGCTTAGAGGCAAACTCTCATGGGTTATAGGGAGATCAGAAGGAAACCCCTGGAAAATTACCCTCCGGGTTCCTTAGAGAGACGAGTTCTGTACGTCCTCCAAAGCAGGGGGACCTATTTCGCTAATTGGTAGCACACATTGTATGAGAAATAAAGATCTGTGCTTGAAAGATACAGGCTTTCATATCTACCTTTTGAGTCCACTCTTCCGGAGACTAGATGGATTTTAACGTCCGTGAATGTATGGTACAGTAACCCCTAGTACTCCATCATCGTTAGGCAGATTGGGAATGCAAATTTGAGCACAGAGTTAGGAGATACATATAATACATGGTGTACAGCTGACCCTGCACAGACACCAAAGCGTTTCATCTTTTCCCCTGTGAGATGCGAGATATAAGGCAAGAATTTGCGCGTAAATAGTGCGCGGTATACGCAAGATACAGAGTATCATTTTTAAATCACGTCATTTTGCTGAGCTTTCGAAAACTGCAGGCGTTATCCATTCATGTTTTGTTTGTTTTTTGTTGTGATTCCTTTCAGCTGGCTATCGCTAGCCCTTGGCAGTCTTTAGTGTTGTCCCATGTCACCTGAAAATCATTCTTAGACCTTTCGTTAATTCCGGTCAAGCCTCTTTCTGGATCTGTTTATCGTCCTTTTTAGTAGAAATGGTGGCGAAAACAGTGTCAAAGACGGCATCTTCAATTGTCACTGTTGATGCGCTCCAGAAGGAAACCATCACCGAGGTTCGATTAAATAGCGACTTTTTATTTGTTGTGTAAAATTTCACTGTGAGCAATACTGCTCTTTAGGTTGCTTCAAAATTCTGGGCACCATTCTCGAAGACGCATGCGCCATATTCTGCTCCTCTGGTGGATACAATTTATCAACACGAAATGATAGATACGCACTTCAGTCCAAGGAAGATTATAATGCTAGAGTTCAGGTAGGATTTCACAGGATTTATATCAGGCTTAACCTTTTTTACTGTTCTACAATTTGACCCTGTGATCGCCCTAGTGATTTAGTTCCAGATGTCTTTTGCGCAAAAGCGTAGAGTATAGCAAAAAATGGAAGCGGAAATTTCGCAATATCCAAACCGACGAGAGTTGTCTACATGGCACAAGTTTTGAACTCGATCGTTTTGCACCATCAGCTCACGCAGTGTTGTGTGAGCGGTAATCTCCTAGTACTTAGAACGGAACGAACAAGCATAATCCCTACACCTGTGGGATTGTACACATCATTGCTCTTGAAGGCATATGTGGAGAAGGGCTGGGAACTAATTGCTGCTGGGAATTAGATGAGAAGTAATTTTATCGCGAACTTCGCCTTGGTGAGGTTCATTCCTTCGCTTAGGAGGCACGCCGGATAAAAAGAGCTTTTTCTCTCTACGGTTTTATCAGTTGAAGCTTCTATAAGTGAAGACTAGCAATCAAAAGCAATGTCGTTATCATTAGTTATTCCCATTTTGAAGGCTTTCACAAATCGCGGTATGAAATCCTCAGTTCAATCTTAATGGTGTTTCGTTTTCAGCCAATATCTTGAATGCTATTTATGGCCAAATTACACGGCGGAGGCTAGTATACCTCATGTGATGTCCATTGTTGTTATGTTAAATGAAAAATTCAGAGAGAGAATTGACGCTTGGCAGGTATTCGTGTTTGATACTTAACTGCAGATAATTTTTTGATAACCTGATTATTTCGGATTTCAGTGTTTTGTGAAGAAACCGGAACATTTCCCTGGCTTTATACAACGGGTTCTAGAGTTATCGTTAGACGAAAATTCGCGAAGCAATGCCGAACAGTGTGCGATTATAACGTTCTTAGTGAACAGTTTCAACTCAGTGGTAAGCTTATGGAGTTTGTGACTTACATGTCTTGTTGAACTTTCAAATAACCGAGCTTCAAGGAAGTCGATATTGTTCGGGAGCAGATGAACAAACTCACCCACATATCGATCTGGACGAATTTGCTGCCGAGCCAGAGAGAGGATATGTTCGCTGGTAGTAAGGTATGTACGCCGTGGATGTATTTATAGCTGGCGTGTAACTTGCTAGTTGTCGATCATTTCAAGCCTTACTTTTCTTTAACAACTTTGTTGGACACATACCAAGGAAGGGTAGTCTATTACCGTGGGACTTTGAATGGAGACCCAGATAAATCGATAGAGTCTTGAATGCTGTTTACGAAAATGGAAATTGAAACTGCAAAATGGTTTTCCTTAAAAAGTTATGAGGGCTCGAAATTTGCTTGACAGTAGTGTTATTTGGATATGCGAACTCGTCGCCTCGGTATCATGTGGCGACGTGTCACGGTGGTAGTGGCCTCGCTTCATAGGCTGAGGGTGCGGGTTTGCTCCCCGCCATCGTCGGCATTTTGCAAAAGTGTTTTTTCATTTCTTTAAAGGCTCTCTGAACCTTCTCTGACATTCGTTTAGTGAACACCTTATTTCTGCTTTTATTTTCTCTCGTCCCCCCCCCCCCCCCCCCCCCCAATCCAAGGAAGTGTGGTTCTGCACCTTAACTGTGTGACTCCATTTCATTTTTGACTTGAAGAAACATTTAACAGCAAGGTGCGCGGTATGTATAAGGTGCTTGTGGGGAACTCAGCATTAATAGGAAAAGCTGAAGTAATGTATGCTGCACACATGTTGTTCACTAACTGCCACCTTATACATGATCCTCCTCTACAACCGGAGACAAAACAGTCATTTGTCTCAAGATTTAACAAATACCCGCCAAGTGTGATACGTCAGTCTAGGTGTTCAACATTTCAGAGTTTTATCAAACTTGAGAAGTTTCAAAGCTCGAAATCTAGTGGTCGAGCGGGAAGCTGGTGCAAGGCATGTTGTTGAAAATCACTTAAACAAATGTCAGAGAAGGTTAGAGAGCCTTTAAAGAAATGAAAAAACACTTTTGCAAAAATACCGACAATGGCGGAGAGCAAACCCGCACCCTACGCCTATAAAGCGAGACCATCACCACAAGGCCACGTTTGCGATTGTTAACGTAGCGACAAGTTCGCATATCCAATTGTACTACTGTCAAGCAAAATTCGAGCCTCCATAACTTTTTAAGGAGAACCATTTTGCAGTTTCAATTTCCATTTTCGTAAACAGCATTCAAAACTCTATCGATTTATCTGGGTCTCCATTCAAAGTCCCACGGTAAGTAGACTACCCCTCCCTGGTTAGAACCTTCAAAAGAGGGGTTATAGTTTTGATGTATTTCTTGACATATATGGTTATACAACGGGTTCTAGAGTTATCGTTAGCTACTTTCATCATTTCATCCATTCTGCTCATCGTAAGAGCTTTAAATAATTCTTACTTATAAAAGCTTCACAGAAGCTGAGGAAGTATTGGACGAATTTATCAAACAAAATCGCTGCTCAAGACGCAGAAGACACTGAAGAGTCTCGCAAAGCTCGATTTGAGAGAAATTATTTGTGGGATCTCATAGCACGCTTTAAACGTACTCTTGATCGAGTCGATGATGAGAGCAAAGGTTAGCATCTTATTGGGCTTTCAGTTCAGTCTCTTCCTGTTCGCTGCCTCATTTTTGCTTTTTTAGAGGTTGACCTCGATGAAATTCGATACTGCGAACGGTTCATCGAGCTTGTTATTGATTTGGAGGCGTTGCTTCCAACAAGGCTAGCTTTAATTTTGTCATAACTTTTTATGAGACCAGGTGAAAAATATATTCTACTACTTTAGGCGATTCTTTAATGCTCTGCTGCACTCTTCGAAGCTAATCACACATTGTGTGCTTTCCAAACTGATCTCTTCGGAAACCGGATCATTATTCTGCCAACTTGTCGAAATGCTCAAATTCTATGCTCGATTCGAAATCAATGATATTACGGGACAACAACTTACTCATAAGGAGGTATCCAAGTTTCTTCATCGGCTGGTGATTCTGTCCCCGAAAATTGTAGCTTCTCTTTGCTTCACGCAAAATTTCCGGAAATGATCGAGTTGAAAGTTTTGAGGAGATAATATTTTTCCAGTTAATAAGATAAATTACTGGAAAAGGACTTCACTTTTTTTCCCATTTTGCATTCTTGTTTGATACGAAACTTTTTGTTCCAGGTTTCAGATAGACACTACGAGCACGTCGTCAAGTTACAGAAAGCCGCTTTCAAATATTTTAGGTAATTAATGCTCCGATTGCTAATTATTGATTAAATGCTGGTTAAGACTATGTTCTGGTTGAAATTTACTTTCAGAGAAAGTATGCCTGATTTTTATTTGCTCAACGTTGGTAGTGTGGATACGAGGAAGGCACTCATGAAACAATTCGGATCAATGAAGTCAGTCAGGCTTACCGAAAATTTACCTTTTTCAGCGACTGTCCAATTTAGTCTATAATTTGAATGATACGAGTGACAACTCAGAGCATTGACTTGTTGCAGAAAGTCTGATATATACCGATTTGCCGAGTATCTTCACCTCGTTCCTCCTATTGATAGTGAAGAATCAATATTGGATAAATGCAGCAAAGAGTTTCTCACGGAGACTATTGTAAACAGCTTCAGTTTTTTTACCTCTAAATCAGTAACGTTTGTGTAGAAAGTGTCCGCTAGATAAATTCAGTTAAACACATCGCTGATGTTACAGACGTTACATTGTGAGCGTCGGGTGAACCAGCTTCAGCAACTTAACGAACAACCGCTCTATCCCACCGAACAAGTTATTTGGGATGAGAATATTGTCCCTTATGAGAACTACTCCGGCGAAGGTTATGTCGACCTCTTTCATATTCTCTCAACTTTGAATTTATGTAGTTTTTGTTGGTTATTTACTCAATTCAATCGCGTGTTTTAGGCGTGCTTGCCTTGAACAAGCTCAATTTACAATTTCTCACCTTACACGACTATTTACTGAGGAATTTCAATCTCTTCCAGTTGGAATCAACATGTAAGCCTCACTATGCGATTAATTCCTTTTTTAGCCGCTTAACGTATTGATTTGTCATGCTTACAAGAGCTTGTTGTTAGCGGAATCAAAACCTTGTTTACTTTCATGAGATAGCTTCTAGGCTGCCTGCTATCCTAGAGACTATAGCTATATGTACGAGATTAATGTGCTTCCATTGATGCGCTATGGCAGTTCCCAACTCCTTCTCTTTTTTGCTCACCTAGCTTCTAACAGAACTTCTACAGCGATTTCTTTTGTTTTGGTCTTCATAGTTTCGGTGTTTTTTTTCTGTCCATTTTGGCTCTGGTAGTGTGGCTCTGGTAGTGGACTTTGTATCCCCAACCCCACGGTCGCATGATAACACACAGGCACGGTTTCGCTCTACTTACGATTCACTGGAAATTCAAACTCTACATTTACACTTCGTGCTGCGAGGTGCGGCCCACCCTTCATATACAACGGCCTGTTGCTCGTATACAAAATCCCACACCTCCCTATCTTGAAGGAATGTTTCGTGCTGGCCCATTCATTGCAGTGGATGTCAGCCATTCTGATCACATCTTCAGTCATGTTTTCAGATGAAATTCGGCAGGATCTCGAAGACGTGTTGTTTCGTATGAAACCATGGAAACATGAAACTCGTAACGAGACTGTATGGGGAGGATGGGCCCGTATGGCACTTCTCCTTGACTCATTTCAAATAGTCGAGGTACGTTGTAATTATTTCCATAACTACATTACACTTTGAAATGCCTGGCTCTCAGTAATTTCATTTTTTGAGGAATGCCTTCTTTTTCCAAATTGTTGATTGAGCAGCATTACTCTTTCTAGGTTGGAAAACCTTTCGTTGGTGATAAAAGTCCTTCTATAGTAAAAGGTGAATTCTCAGTCAACGTTGGACGGCGAGTAGATATCAAGCAGGAATGGGAAAGTAAGTCATGTGTTGTTATGATGCTTGAGTTAAGTTATGACAAGTTAGTAAAACTGAATTAATGGCTTCACCAATCCTTCAGCGGAAGCAAATATTTATTAAGGGCAGTTTTATCAATAGCAATACCACAAATTGCTCGCATTATTCCTAACAAACGTTAATACCGGTAGCGCTGTATGTGTGCCAGCAGGCCGAGTTTCGAATACTGATGTCAGGGGTGATTGAGCTGATTGAGATAGTGAAGCTGACCGAAGGAGGGCATGAGGATGGAGGAATTCGTTGAATTTTGCCAACACTGCTTCAGCTTTTAAGGGCATCCAAAGGTTCATAATGGCTTCTCGAAAAAGGTGTTCAGTGCTTCTTATCAGAGGCCGTGTTATTGGCTAAGACTGTGGAGAGGTTGGGATGTAGACCACGGCTATGTGGTGATATGTACTCTTTAATTTTGCTTGTTTTTCTACATTTCAGCAGTGGAAATTTACTGTTCGGTGAAGGCAGTGTCCTTGTATCAATTCTTTCAAAATTGTGTCTATAAGTGGTCCTATCGCCTACAATGCTGGTTTTTATATCAGCACGCAATTAAATTGAGCTGGATTTCATTTTGTTTGTAGGGTGAACTGAACTGTCTGAACGGTTTCCTATTGAGATTCTGGTTGAAATTCCTGTACGATTCAAAGTCGGGATAGCTCGGATCTAGGGAAGCGATCGGCAAATTTTTCGAAACCTTATTGAAGGGCGCGATCATTAGGTCGACAAGTCATGAAGTGGTTTCGAGTGGTTTATTGATGAAAAGACTGCTTCGCCATTTAGGCAACCTGCTACAACAAGGTGTTTCACAATAGTGCGTTGTAACAGAACAGAGGGGGATATAAAAGGCGTGATGAGGCATTGACCTTTCATTTACCCATGTATTGCAACAGCATGATGCAAGGGGGCGGGCTAGGACACGCCCCTCATCCGCATCGAGGGAGACACGTTATAAGGTATTATATACAAAGTGGCTCTCGCGTTAACAGTTTACGCAATTTTTTTTCTTTTTTTCCCAAGGAACTACCTCCTTACGTCTACTTTATGTGCTGAAGCTCTGAATTATTCGAAAGAAATCGGTGGTTTTAGATTTGCGAAAACATGATGTTTGTTTTCTGGTCACTTGCCGCTCTAAGCAGCCGGTTGGTACTAAGTATGACGTCAGAAAGCCTTTTAAAGACCAGATTCAGGTATTGGAATCACTTGTATTTTATTCAAATCCAAAGAGAAAGAAATAGCAACGTATTAAGGTCACCTACGTGCGTGGATGTGAGATAGAAGGGATGATGGATCAAAATGGACAGGTTATCGAAGAGTTTGGTGAGTTCTACGAACAGCGCTCCTGCCCTGATTTGTATTGCAGTGTATTACTGTATAGAAAGTGCTCGTTTCAGAGGCGTACGAGAAACGGCCACAAATCCAGGGTGATATTCGAAGATACCGGGTTTTTCTAGATCCTAATCAATACAGAATCGATATGGAGAACCGAGCGGAGAAGGGCGCGGAGGTAGCTTACAATCTTTTAATGTCTACTCCCTTCTGATCTATTTTGATCTTCAAATTTCATTTTGGAGCCGGCTAGAATAGGATAGTGTACGCTGGTTTTCAGGACGTCTACTACACCTTCAATCTTGTGGTTCGTCGTGATCCAAAAACGAACAACTTCAAGGCTGTTCTGGCAACCATGCGACAACTTCTGAATACCGAATGCGTCGTTCCTGACTGGTTAACTGATATTGTGCTAGGCTATGGTGAACCCGATTCAGCTCACTACTCAAAGTGAGTTTTAATTTCAAGCACTTTGGGAAATTGGTTCTATTCGTAGTACGTGTAGAACGGCTTCTACTGGACAACGTTTTTCACAGCTTACACTTCAGCAATCGGGCTATGGCTTAGATCCCGAGCTGATCCAAATATTCATAGCTAATTGATAGGTTGATTTTCAGCCAGATTAGCCGGGAAATAATGTTGTTTTACTATCCCCGACCCCTGTAATTCGTTGAGTAGGTCTGAAATAATATTCAGTGACTTCACAATGATGAAGTAGATTTCAACTCTCACGAAAAAGTTGATCCACTCGGCGCGCTTCTGACGTATCTCTTGAGGAATCTCTCACCACTCGGCGGCAGGCGATAGCATTCTCTTAGTTTTTCGCCGATTCCTCTAATTTTTGACGCTTCAAGTATTTAAAAGTTGTCTATTTGTTTTTGTGTTATGGGCAATGTATCGATTCCTCACAATAGTAACGGAACTTTAAAGGATGAGGTCTTGGGTCAATACTCAATCCCGTCAGAGGAATGCGCCCATGCCTTCGACTTCCATTCATAATCGAGAGGCGTATCGAATGCTTTTGTGGCCTATACCGTGAATTGCGAGGGCCTGCCTATGTACTAGTCAGTGCTTTTAGCTTCCTTGACGAGCCTGGTATCAATAAATCGACCTCGGAGGGATGGAGGCTTCGTTGGCCTGGGCGGACATCGATTCGGGATTCAAACTCTTGGCCGTGCATGTGTGAAGTGCGCCTTTTGCCACTACACCACTTCCGCCCTTAACGAAAGTTAGAAATGAAATATGTAGTAAAGATATTTACAAGAATATCTCATCTTGAGTCAGTTGACAGTTTACCATTAGAGTTTCCATCGAGTCTGATGGCCTTTTGTTAGGGTGCTATACACGTTGAGAGACGATTTGAGAAAAGTTTTCAAGCTCCTAGTGAGGATATTAAAAGGACTCTACATCTCATAATGTAGCATGTATACATCATGTTACATAATGACGAATAAAATGACTTGGTTTCAAAAGGAGATGAGTTTCGAGCCTCTCTTCAAAAAAAAATTTGTATACGTTATTTTGTGTATTCGAGTTTGTGAAAATAACAATTTCGATCGCTCTTTTTTTCAGGATGAGCAATGTTGTACCTTCACTGGACTTCAATGACACCTTCCTTTCCTTCGAGCACCTGAAAGAGTCGTTCCCGGGTTATAAAATTGAAGCAACGGCTGAAGACGACAAGATGATACCTCCATTTCAGTATGCTTTTTCCTCTTTGTATCCAGTTATTTTCACACCATGGAATTTTATCAACAAACTTCGTTTTAGGTTGACTTTCAAAGACCTTATACGTAAGGGTGAGAGTGAAGGTGAGAAATCGATTGAAGTGAGGCCTCTGGTGCGAGAACCTCAAACTCCTTACATGAGATACCCCAACAAGAACCAAGTGAGATTCACCTCTGCGCAAATCGAGGCTATCAAGGTAAGCAGACGTTTTCACTTGTGAAGATCAGCGTGGTGCAATTTATCTATTCTTTAGGCTGGTATGCAACCTGGATTGACCATGGTCGTTGGGCCGCCTGGAACAGGTAAGACTGACGTGGCAGTACAAATCATCGCGAACATCTATCACAATTGGCCTCATCAGAGGACCCTGATTGTGACTCATTCTAACCAGGCTTTGAATCAGCTTTTCGAAAAGATCATAGCTCTCGATGTTGATGAAAGGCATCTTCTTCGAATGGGTGAGTTTCTCTGTTGTCTATACTTCCAAGTAGTAACTGTGGTTCCTCTTTCGTCCTACTCGCTTGAAGCTTTGTATATACTTTGGTTACATGGGTGCTCCTCTCTTTTCTAAAGAAATCTTTTCTGTTGTTTTCAATTATACAGCTCTCGTTCATGGATTGATTGAGCACTAGATGGCCAGAACCTTGGCAGATAAAATCGTGTATGCTATTGGATGCTTATGATCCTTTAGGACACGGCGAGGAAGGCTTGGAAACCGAAAAAGATTTTTCACGCTACGGACGTGTCAACCACGTGCTCAAAGAGCGGCTGAGACTACTCTCTGAGGTAATCACTGGTTTAGTGGAAATTTTATTTTGCTGCAACGTCAACGTTTCTTCGAACATCAGCAAATTCTTTTAAGGTCGAGCGTCTCCAGCATGCAATGAATGTTATTGGGGATGTGTCTTACACTTGTGAGAATGCGGGACATTTCTTCCGTTTTACAGTACGCCCGTTTTCATGCTTACTCTACTCAAGCGGACCTTGTGTGGTTATTGTGAAACGTTTTTTTTTGAATAATGTTTTTGGTTAGGAGCTCGTTTCTCCTGACAGAAGTTCTCATACTTGGAGAAAGATTCCAAGTGCAGCGGTTTTTTGAAATGAGACCTGTATTCTTAATGTGACCCCCATGTTCCCTCTAGAAATTGCAGAAAGGTTGCAATCCACAACCATGGAACGAACGGGTATAAGTCTTCCCTAATGGTGTATCGTAGTATAAGCGTCACAAAATTGGGGGCTTTTCTGTCAGGGTTATTGAATGTACGAATACATGTGTATAGTTTTTCGTCTGCTGCATAATTTTTTTGAGACTTGTTCTTGATATCTGTGATTCTCATCTACTCATTTTCACTATCCAATTCGACCGGGTGTTATGTTGAATTCTAGTCACGCAGTTCATGCTCTTATAGGTCTGTCGCGCATGGGACGAATTCATGGAGAAATGTTCGATTGAGAAGGACGGCTTGGTGGCTGAAGTCTTTCCTTTCACTGGGTATTTCAGTGATATCAATCCATTATTCAGTGTAGGTTTTGAACAGTCTCTGCTTTTTATTCGTTTTATTTGCTTCCAAATCTCTTAGTAGTGCATTAGTCATTTTTGCCTGTTGCCGCCAGCACAGATATTCCACATATCTTCAGGGGTCGTATAAAGCTGATATGGAAGTAGCTCGCAGCTGCTGGCGTCATATCAATCACATTTTTGAGCAACTGGAAGAGTTTCGTGCGTTTGAGCTGCTAAGGAATGGCAGAGATAGAACGGAATATCTCCTGGTACGTTTGAACTTGTGAGTAGTTTCCAAAAACATTTGAATAGTTCCTGCTTTGAAAATAACTTTTCTAACTGGTTATTGCTTTTTAAAGGTGAAAGAAGCTAAGATCATTGCAATGACTTGCACTCACGCAGCGTTGAGAAGGAATGAGCTCGTACAGCTCGGATTCCGATACGATAACATTCTGATGGAGGAAGCAGCTCAAATACTGGAAGTCGAAACATTCATTCCTTTGTTACTACAGGTAAATTACACCGTTTGTTTCACTAGTGAGGGTTTTATTGGGAGCTAGAGTTTATTAGTGAGGGTCTTACTGGTAGTCAAGAGTATCAGGGCATTCTACATCTGGAGAATAAATAGAAAAGCTGTTAGTGCATGATCCTCTTCTGGCAGAGCAAACGCTACCCCGTAATGATTGCATGTCCGGCTTACATCGCCTGGTCCCTCTCTTTGAAAAAGTCAGTGTGTTTGAATTGACTTTTGCATCTCTTGCATCTTGCCCTTTTCAGTACACAAGATATATTTCTAATCACGAAAATCCTTGGAGGGGAACACCTCAAACTAGGCGGCGAGCTTTTGAAGACCTCGGTGCAAAGAAGGAGTACAACTGCTATTCAACATCCGTTAACAGTTACGCTCACCTATGATGATGATGTCTCGCTCTGTTGCTTTCAGTTGTGGTGAACAGTCATTACCCGCTGAAAATTGAACTCCTTTTTCTATTAAATCTACTCTTCTAGTGATACCTCTACGAGCAGAACGACCTGCTTAGTTAGGTGCTCCACTCGTAGAGATGTCACTAGAAAAGTAGGCTCAATAGAAAAAGGAGTTCAATGCTTGAGCTCAGACGAATAAGAGGAACATCAGCGTTAAGATCGACGGTAATGTAGTCCTTGGCAATGACTATTCGTGTTTTTGTTGATATAAACAACTCGTCAATATATCCATATGGTGATGGACGGATATGTTTTGTGGCAGTTGATATCACAGTAGAAGAAAAAGGATCACATTGAGGCTCGAATATTTTATGAATAGTGGACTGACCGGGAAATGTAGTTTACTAACACTGGAATTTTGAATGAAGAACAAATTCATACACACGTGCGACATATCTGATTATACATATACATCATGCTATTATGGGACTCCATTTCTGTCTGCTATTTTTTTCTCAACTGATCTTTGTATTTTTGAGAATCCACAAGATGGAAGGAATCGTCTGAAGCGATGGTGTATGATTGGAGACCATCATCAGCTCCCACCAGTGGTGCAAAATCAGGCCTTTCAAAAGTACTCGAACATGGAGCAGTCGCTGTTTGCTCGTTTTGTCCGACTCGGAGTGCCCAATGTGCAGCTTGACAGACAAGGAAGAGCACGGGCAGAGTAAGTTTCCATACACTTTTCCAATTAATATGTCTTTTCGGCGCGAAATTTCTAATCTCAGTGACCTTATCCGCAATCGTGAAATAAAGTCGAACTGAAAGTCTACCTGAACCCTCTACCCAAAGTCTTTGACACAGCTTGAGTTAATTCACTTTAAGTTCCGTTATTGATTTTGCTAGCTAACGTAAAATCTGCATGTCATATTAGACCATCTATCGCAAAACATAATCCATAATTGCAATTTGTTTTCACGTCACAAAGCGGAGCTCTTCTTTAGGCATGTTTTGGTTTTCTCACTCCTACCTCACATTTCTCCCAGTTATGAAAGATTGCTCTTTTTTCGTAAGGCTTGGTAGGTCCTAACTATTATATTCTTCACTGTTTCTCATGAATGCCTGTCGGACTGGCCGGACGAAACAGGGCTCCCTCGTTTTACTTGATTTATTCGAAATTAGAAGTGCCCAACTACTCAAGGCAATCTTCATCCCAAAACAAGCCGTACCGAGACTTTTCCTACCTTCTTGGATATAAATTTATTCGACTGTGGGATAAGTCTCGTGCAAATTGACGTTGAAGTAGAAAAAAAATGCCTTCCAAGAAAGTAGCGCTTGATATGTAGAGCAAAGTAGGCACGAAATTCGCCTAACTTATGTTATTACCACATAGTACTGGCTTTTATTACTTCTTATCACTCTACTGTCGTTTTTCTCTCACGTAGTATACACAGGTTTCAAGGCTTACAGGCTTTAAGGCCATGTTTTCAATTTGCGAACTAAGCGAACTCGGTTTCTTCCGTCTCTCAAATTTAATTACGAAGGAATGTTATATTGACTGTATTATATTTATCATTTGATCACTCTAGGATCGCTGCTCTGTATAGTTGGCGTTACAAAAATCTTGGTAATCTCCCACACGTCGAGGCTCTACCTCAGTTCCAGGTCAGTTTTTTGGCACACTTCCAGCAGAGGAGCTTTTCCAAAACCCTATTTTATTTCGAAACATCCTTCTTTTGAATATTTTCTTGAATCTTTGAAGACTGCCAATGCCGGTTTTGCGTTCAATTACCAGCTGATCGATGTGCCAGACTTCAACGGTCAAGGAGAATCCCAGCCCAGTCCTTATTATTACCAAGTGCGTCTTTCCTAGATTGTAGAACCATATTGGTTGTGTACTCATTTGCAAATTGGTCGGACAAAATTAAACTTTAATTCAGAATCTGGGCGAAGCCGAATACGCAGTGGCATTGTTCACATACATGCGCATTATTGGCTACCCCTCCGACAAGATCTCTATTATTACTACTTATAATGGGCAGGTTAGTTGTTGTCATTCTGTGAAACGGCACCTTTCATATACTCTTCCTTCAATATAATAGCTTTATTGCTTTGTTTCGCAGGCCCAATTGATACGCGACGTTGTGGAAAGGCGCTGTGCAAATAACCCTCTCATTGGTTCACCAGCAAAGGTAAGCTTTTGGTTACTGAACCATTTCTTCCTTGAATGAAAGGCACTTACTGCAGCAAACTGGGTGGACCATTTTTCTCTGATCCAAAAATAGAACGGTCTGCAAACGCAGAAGTTCTGTTAGTTTTGTAGTGGAGAGTGGTAGGGACTAAGTTCGCATGATCAAGGCGGTCGTCGGCCACAACCACTAGAGTTTCACGACGACCATCTCGCTTCCTTGTTGCTTTGATGGTGAAAGACGGCTAACTTCTTGTGTAGAATCTATTAGTAAGCCGGAAGCCAGGCGTTAGGGTTTTGTTGGGGCCATAGAATTTAGTTGAAATGTGGATCATGAGTATGTTGTGAAATGCATAACCAAGAGTCACACAAATCAGCTGTCGCCATGTAAATGATCCAAGGTCCTATTTTTGCGAGACACTTCTGAAGATTTGTTCAGATTTCTACTGTGGATAAATATCAAGGACAACAAAATGACTACATAATTCTCTCATTGGTGAGGACAAACAACATCGGTCACATAAGGTGTGTGAAGAATAATATCTTGGAATCGTTTTTATTTTTACTACACTAGAACTTTGTATTGACCGAAATTTTCCAGAGACGTGCGTCGTTTGGTAGTAGCGCTATCCCGAGCTCGACTTGGTCTTTATGTACTGTGTCGAGCCAACCTCTTCCGGAACTGTTTCGAGCTTACACCGGCGTTCAATATTGTACTTTTTTCGGTTTGAAAGATTCCAAAAAATCAGCTGCTCTGATTTGTTGTCTTTCAGCTATGTCAGCGACCTCCTCGATTACTTATCATTCCCAGCGAACCTTATCCAACACAAAGGAGGGTGAGTTTGGCTGATTTAAATCTTGATCTTTTTTCTTTAGATCATTTGTAACCATAAAAATTATGTTGGTTTTCTTCAGAGTGGGGACGAAGCTGACGGGGAAGTGATATCGATTGAAAACACGGTACATATGTCAACATTCGTCCATGACTTCTATGTTAGCAATATGGAATCGATGCGTGTCAATTACGAGAAGGCCATGGAAGAATACCGTCGTCAAGTGCAGGTTAGTCTCATTCCTTTTTTTTTGTTTTTGAATTTTTTGTTTCTTCTCCCTTGTTAGGGATTGTTGCTTTATTTGCTTTCATTCTCACTTCAAGCGAATACTACCGATGTAAAAAGGAGTGCAGTTAATGTTATGATTTCTAGCAGCAAACGCTTCCACCAACGCCCGTTGAACCCGAACAGTCGGAAGCTGAAAGAAAGGCAGAAGAAAGGAAAACCAAGGTTGAAAAAGGTCCGGAACCTGAAAAGGATATCGTGTTTGAGAGTATGGACTTCGAAAGGCTAGAAGAAGTCCCGAAGTATTGAAGTTCACAGCTGCAGACTGAATCTGTTATTGTTGGGTCGGGTTTGTTAATTAACTGACTTTTTGTACCGGTATCATCTGATGACATTTTAAATTATTGTTTTCTAACATTGATGTTGTACACTGATGCGTGTTGTATGTACATATTAAGTATGAATGCTTCGTTTTTACTCCTCAGCAGAATCCTTTACATTTCCTCATGTTTGGATACTTCTTATGGTCTCGTCTCATGTTGAAAATGATCTGAAGTGCTTTTAAAAAGACTACCTATATGCTTCTATAGGACGCGTTTAATAAATTGAATAAACTTGTTGATTTGCTTATAATATATTTTTCAACTGACAAGTTAAATGTTGTTGGGTTTTATTGTGGTCGAGTAAAGAAGTTTAACTGTCAGCTTCGCCTATACCGTGCTTGAAGCCATCGTGGGTTTTCACCCTCTACCGACATACCATTATGTTCTCTTTGCTAAGAGATTCTGCTCTGCAATGAACATGTGACGTGATTGTACTTTGCAGATTACTGGAAGTATGTATTCCAGTACAGTATTTGTATTGTCGCTTAGGTGAAAGACATATGGTCAAGGACACTGAAATGGTTGGCATGTTTTGACGTTCCGGCGTGGTCAGTTTTGCTCCAAAACTGCACTTATGTATTTTTGTTTACAGTTTTCACGTTATTTCTATTACAGATCTCAAGGCGCTGTAGTTATTGACAGCTTGTGGAGCCACCATTCAGGCTGTTCAGTAGTGAGTTTTATTCTTTATTATTAAATAAGCAGAACTTTGATCAGCGTTTCGGAAACCAGAGACAAAGTCCTAAAAATGCTGGTGAAAACAGTTACTGAACATATGTTACCACAATAATGCAAGTCAATTCTAATATAATATATACAATGTTGGTAGGCAAGCGTCAAGGCAATGAAGGCAAGGTTTGGGAAGACTTTATAACTCCAAATCGTTTTCGGAGGTAGATGATATGGATAGTTTCTCGTCAATAATATTGGTGTAGCTTTGTGCTTGAAAGGTTGGAGGAGGAGCTGGATAGTAGGCCATCTAAAATTAGTGGCTCAATGAGCTGTCGAATTTAGCAGAAGGACAGAATATTTTATGTACCCTGAAGAGACTAGGGCTGATCGCATAGGCTGGCATTACCTGTGATCCCCAGTAGAGCTGTGAGTAATTTTGAGTCTGTTGGAAGGTATTGTTGGGACCGGATCCCGATACTTCGTTCTGGCTCTGCATTGATACTGCTCGAATCCCTATTTCGGATTGGCTAAACAACGAAGAAGTCTAATCAACGTTCAATATGAAGTACGCCAGTATTCCTTTCCCACTCGGCTTTGGTAGTTAGTTCATGGCACAAAATTCACGCAAAGCAATTCAAATGAGTTCAAATCATAAAATGACGTTAAACATCGACTCACTCGTTGCGCTTTTGGTTTTCTGAATCGGGAGAGTCTCGTGGAGATGGTGAAGATAACGAGGAAATGCTTGTGTTAGTCCCGGACGAACTGCTTACTCCAGCATTCCGATTTCCGCTCTCTCTGTGCTTGCGCTTATACCGTTGATTTTGGAACCAAATTTTCACCTAGAATATAGTGTGGACGTATGAACGGCTGCGGAATTATAACATGTTTCTTGTAATTTTCTCTTTCGAGATGATTTTGAGCATTCATTATACTGCTCTTGAGCAAAATTCGACTAAAAAAAATGACAGCTATCGTGTGGACCACGAATTCTTTCGCTGCAGTCGGGAAGTACAGGGTCGCAAATGGTGAACATTACCTACAGCAGTGGTTCCTACTATCGCGTGAGCCCAGACGCAACATTTTGCTCAATCATCTTGATTTTTCAAAATTTATCCAGTCGTCATGGCAATTGACGGAGCTTGGGGTAGTATTTTAGCGTAGTATCGAAGGAGAATAATCGAGTTTCTTCAATGGATAGTGCTCGAAAGTCGAATGTTACCTGTTCACCAGTAAGGCCAATCATTTGCGCGAAGTTGTCTCGCTCTGGTTGTCTTATATGCTCCTTTTCGGCAAACCTGCAAAGTAGTTCAAAGCATGAGAAAACGAAATTTTGGTCTTGAACTGTTACTAATTCTCAAAATGTGATAATAGTTACCTTCGCTGAAGCATGTTCAGCTGTAGTTTTGTGAATAAGTTGCGTTTTTTCTTGAACTTGCCTCCTGCTTGCATACCTAAAACTAATACTTTGTAGCTCTTTACAGTCGATATGAGTGAGCCACATTTTTCTACTTCATGTGACCTACTTCTTATTTCACTTCTCCATTTTTGATCAAACTTTGTTGAAAATGTTACCTGTCGTATTGTAGCCGTACCAGCAGTTTGCCATGCTTGGATATGATAAAGGGTGTTGCACAGACATAGGGTACCTGGAAATGTATAATGTTGGGAGCGGGGTATAAAAGATTCTTGCTGGTCATCAGATTTGACCTATATTTGGGTGTTTCTTTGCTCTGATAATGGTCGAACCAGGAAACGGATGCTCACTGAAGTGCTCACATGGAACCATGGAAAGTCCACTGGGATCAGGAATTATGGACCGTAGCTTTTGGAGAGCCGTGAACTAAAAATTTTCTGAAGTAGAACCAACCCTGTTTGACAATTTGTTGATACTGGATAGGTGTAATAGGCAGCTGGTGGTATAGACATCCATGACAGTTCGTCGAATAAGCCAGCAGAAGCAGGATATGCACACTGGCTCGATTCCATCTGAAGCGAATAAAGCTTGGATATCTTTGCAGGTCTTTCTCGAAAATGCTAAAAAGAAAGTACACAATCAGTTCCGTTCGAGCGTATACATAATATAAATGCCCGATAAAAAATCATCAACTAATCTTTGATGTGACATGAAATATTTCTTTCACAAAGCTTGAATAGCAAAAAATCTGCAGAATAGAGTCGGAGTTGACTAGATGATGAAGTCCAGAAGCGATACTTGTGAACGGTGATAGCCAATCTTCATTCCCCGCCCCTTGTCCTCAGTGGTATCGTCTGGTTACTGTACTGTAATTGCCTTCGGCGGCCCGGGCCACCTGTGAGGCCTTGAGGCACATTGTCAAGGATTCTTCAGTTTCAAGGGTTACTCATGAATTCGAGTACTCTATGAGGCTATTTTTGGCGGATGGGTTTTTGAAGAAGGCCTTTGAGAAGTACGTTGATGTGTTATATCTGTCTTATTGGATTCCTCTTGCCATTTGGGCCAGGATTGCACATTACTCCTTTTTTCAGAAAAGTTAACTTATAAATGACCTGCTTAGTCTGGGCAGGGAAAACTGAAGAAGACGATTTTTTACCAAGAAATGAGGTGGTTTGTCATAGCACATGGAGGTTAAATAATTTGGTGGTGTACTCCGAAGAGGCCCTGCTATATATCTGTTTCTATACATCAGCGGCGATCTTTTGTTACATTCCTACATTTCCATCCTACGATCATTTAAAGAATTCTCCATTGATAGGGTTATGTATAGCCATGTAGCGTTTCCATTCCTTTTCTGAGATTAGCAAAGTTAGTGTGTGGTGGCTAGAAAAGCTGCTTTCTATTGCACGATGTTTCGAATCGATTCTGTGTAGCCAGTTGTGTCCCTATTTTTCCCGGGACAACTAATCAAATGAATTCATGCGATAATGAAAAGTGTCAGTTCATAGAACGGCTGTCTGAATTCTTTGAGCTTTTCAATGTGTGCTCAAGTCAAGTTAGTGTAGAGTGATTATGAGTACCATATTCTTTGGTCTTTGGTGTGTATGCGCTTGCTGAAATGTAGCGGTGAAGATTGAGCTGTCAGCAGCTTATCTATGTCTGCCTGTCCCAATTTAGATGACACAAAGGTGTGAAAAAGGTTATGGAGTAGTGCAAAGTAAATAGGGCAGATAACTTCCAAGAGGACTTGATTCTGTAGGATTCAGTGAGGATCGTCCAAATTTCTCGAAGTTCGTTAGATGGGATTTGAGTTGTTTTCATATCTCACCGGATTATACATCATCAATAAATCTATTTCTTGTAATCCAACTCATTGTCAGTGGGAAGGAGCGAATAATAGGATATTCATAATGGTTCAGGATCTGCGAAAAGATTTGTATACTTCAACAGTATTACCTGAACTCATTAACCTATCTATCACCAACTTCATTAGGCGTGGAACACTCTGAGTCACAAGTGCGCTTTACCGAACATCGAGCATTTATGTTCACATGCGACTTCACTACAACGCAGACGCAGTAGATATCAGTGCTATTCCAAGACATCGAATTCCGAGAAAAGTAACGCAATTGGAATGAATAAAATTTGATTCAGCGAAGGATTTGAGGTATACTAATGTAATGGAGATAGTTTGACGGCTTCCTTTGAAGTAGAGTTCTCTTCAAAGGAATATGGTGTCGCCGTGGGCTTCTAATTCTAACATATAGCCGTAGGCTTTTGAAGTTACCCACTCATTTTTGAAAGACTCGTGCAATGAAAGGAGGAGAAAGTTGAGGATCACAACTTTCTAGGTAATATATAAAACTCCGGAGGTCGATTATTTGGTATCATACTCGTCTACAATATTAATTCACTTGCTTGTGTATGGCTGGTAAAGGTAGATCGTTGTATAAGTCAAAAACGCATCAAGTACGCCACTATGATTCTGAATGAAAGTCCAATGAGTCGGCACATCCCGAAACAGTGTTGATTAACGCTAGTGGCTCCGTCCTTTTTTATAAAACACAACTTTCCGTCATTACTGGAAAGATACTTGATTGTTCGATCTATATGACATGCTTTTCTATTAATTATTCAAGACAGTGATTTTTATGCAAAAACTCTATGGCGAGAGATTGTTCAGTTCAGAAGCGCGAACTTGTGGTTTTGGTGCAAGCAGTGATAGACGCTTGAATTTCAAGAATTGCGTGGGGTTAAGGGAAATTTGGGGCTCTTTCAATGGTGCTGCACCAAGAAGAGGGACTTGAACTCAATGCATAATTCCGTGCTGTAACAAAGTCAAAGTCATTGGAACATGGCTACATATCTAATTGTAACAGTGTTGTTGTTAGATTCCGAATTATGTTGGCAGTAATGTCTTGATCTTGTTTTTGTACAGCTGTTCCCCATGGCTGGAATTAGGCGTTGGAGTGCTCTAGTTTCCTTATCAATCATTTTACGACCTACGAAATGTTGCCTGGCAAGGTGCAACGTTGAACGGCTATGAAAACACCTTGCTCTAGAACATCTTGCCTGAGGCGTGTTGATTACTCGCAGGCAGTGGATCAAACCTTGTAGGACATTAAAGTAACTTTGAATCGACCAACAAGGGTGCCTAATCATCATTTGAAAAGTCATCAGTCAGAGTTGTGATAAGGTGTACTGTTTTTGAGTTAACTCGATATTTTCCATAGAGCTATCAAAATTGTTAATGTTAAGCCTACAATCGAAGAATTTTACGAAATTGGTTGAAGCCCTCCACTTCGGTGTATTTCTAAGCTTGAATTGAAGAAAGCAACCGTTCTTACCGGTGTGCACAGTTGAACTTCCAATTTGCAGGAATCTAGAGAACTGCTGCCTTGGAAGTGCCGATGGGAATGCTCCAAACCCACTTGAAGAAGCGGGTGATCTTGCCAGCGAGATAGTGAATTTTGTGAATAAATATTTCATTGCGATGGTGTACACTTATGGTATTCATATAAGCCCTTTAGACGTCCTAAACGCTCTATATCTGTTATAGCTATTGCGTCGTTTCTTATTCTTTAGCAGGTCTTATTAAGGTCCAATAGTACCTCTGGTTAAAAGGATTGCATTTCATTGCAGTCATGTCCACAGACCCAGAAGTCAAGGATAGGCTCGATTTAATGCAAGTCAACGGTGACCAAGTACGTTCGAAGGAATTTGAGAATAATGAGTGTTCACATAGAATCATAAAAATATGCACATCCATTTATATGTACTTTATTTTGCTTGTAGTGTTTACGGTTCACTTTAGAGAGAAGAGGACAAGGAGGACTTGGTGACACCGTGGGATGTGGCGGCGAGTAGCGCAACTGGTGTGGACTACGACAAGTTAATAGGTGAGAATTTACGCTGATTTCAGGCAAAAGTTTTTATCTGAATGTCCAAGCTAGTTTTTCGGGTAGAGCTGGTTGGGTTTGTAGGTCCCTTGCATCTTCATGAAAATTAAGCTGCTTTAGTGAAATTCGGCTGTCGCAAGCTTGGCCAAGATCTCGTGGAACGGTTCAAGAAAGTCACCGGGCACGAACCTCATCCAATGCTACGTCGTGGAATGTTCTTCGCTCACAGGTGAGCAGCAGTAGATTAGTGGTCAGAAATATTTTCTTTTTCTGTAGCAGAACTGTTTCATGCATACAAGTAAAATAACGTTTTCCACAACAACAAAATGAGTGAGATTTAGGGATTTTGCGGCGATTCTGGATCGTAAAGAACAAGGGAAACCGTTCTTTCTGTATACTGGTCGTGGTCCTTCTTCTGGAAGTCTTCACCTTGGTCATCTGATTCCTTTCATGTTTTCAAAGTGGCTGCAGGAAGTGTTTGACGTGCCTCTCATCATCCAGGTAATTGACTTTTACCGCGGTTCGATTATATCCTCGTTGGTTCTACTAGTGCCCAAAGAGGTTCGAAATAAGTGAACCCCCTCGAAACCATGTCTTTTCTTTCGTAGCATCGAACTTGTGTAGTAGTCGGCTGTCAGGTCGTCCCATCTTAAGAGAATAGAAGTGCAATGTTCTATTTACTCAATTGAAATTTTTGCTGTTATCATCCATTCAGATTACGGATGACGAGAAATTTCTGTGGAAAGACATGAAGGTAGACGAGTCGAAAAAAATGGCTAGAGAAAACATGAAGGACATAATTGCCGTTGGTTTCGATCCTGAGAAGACGTTCATGTTCAACGACTTCGACTATATGTGGTCAGTCTTATCGCACTCAACTTTTTCTTGAAGTTAATGCCCATTGTTTGTTCGCATAGAGTTCATAAATTTGCGTATACACTTAATGCCTAGTTGAATTTGCGCTTAAATTTAATTTTAATTCTCACTTACAGTCCACCGTTTTACGAAAACATCTGCAAGATCTGGAAAGTGGTCACGGGAAATCAGGCTCGAGCCATTTTCGGTTTCACACCTGAGGATAGTATGGGGAAGGTGAGTCGTGGGAGAATTGGTTCATCACCTTATATGTTTTTTTTACTGTATATATCTTGATAATGATTCCATTCATGGCACGGGCTATGTATTGCTACTCATTTGTTTACTTTTTCCATATTATTGTGATTTCAATCGGTTGTTGTGCTAGAACGCGCTAAAGCGTTCTTTGGTACTTGTGAATGGAGTTGCTTTCTGTTTTTGTGTAGCAGAAACCCACGGAAAAGCCAAGAACTGGAGACGACCGTCGCTCTTTTTAGACCAGTGCTTTTGACTTCTTTTCGAAGAGGCATCGCTTAATTTTTGGAGACCTTTTCAGTTTTTGTTCCCACAGATTTTCTCTTGATTGTAAAATCCTGACATTTGGAAACTTACTTCGCAGCTGAATTTCAGCTGTGATGGAGCTGCAAATATGTCTCATAACCTTATATTATATATCTATTTACCTCTCCTTTCATTCCCGTTCCAATCTTATTTTACACTTTTTTTAAATCATCTGATAAGCGACATTTTTTAGGCGGCATTCCCTGCAATTGAAGCAGCGCCATGTTTCGCTTCATCATTTCCTCACATTTTCGGTAACAAGACGGATATTCCATGCCTCATTCCGTGTGCTATTGATCAGGTACGATATCGATTCGATGCTCCATCACGTTTTTTACTTTTCACTTATCGTACGCAGTTTCTAAATAAAAACAGCATTTAAACAGGTTGCTGTTGTGCGAGTTATAGAGAAATTTTGATGAAATAAGAAACGTTTCCAGTGAAGTGGGATTTTTCGATAGCAGAGATCCTGGGTTGTTGTACTTGCCAAGTTGCAGCAAGCGAGCGGAGACTTTGTTTAGTTGGAGGGGTTTCGTATCGTCTTGAATATTGCGTGGAATATAGTAAGAGAGACATATCAGAAACATACGTTTTCATGGGGGTTTGTAAGTAGTTCTCTCAAGTCCCCTTGCTCTGTCGATAGTAGATCAATTTTCCTCAGCATCCTCTACTAGTTTTTTTTGAAAGTATTGTTAGCTATAGCCTTTCTGTCTAGTTGGTCTGAATGTGGTGTCCTTTTCTTTGCTGTCGATCTTTATTGCTTTGTAAATATGAGCGAGATCGTAGAGGTGTACTGTTAAGTGTGTATGTAGACAGTACCATACTGCTACAGTCACTTGTGCAGCTAATTGCGACCTTCAAAATACATGTGGTTTCGACCAAATAAGCCATGTATGTTCGGCTTCCGTAGTTTTCAGTTTCGGTAAACGGTTGTTGTTGGAAGTATTTCTACGATTCCGTTTTCTGCCCCGGTTCTCGGGAGTCGTTGTATCCACTCACCGCTTCTTGAGGACGTGACAATAGTGGGAATGTACTGGGCTGTGGTTTGGGTGGGTGGGTGACAGCGACAGGTGACAATTTTAAAGTTCCTTTTTTGAATTTGAAGCCTTGTAGAAAGACCTCTTGCTGGAGACACCGTAGTGAGTGAAAGTCTGATTCGGTGTAGATTTCACCTGCATTCTTTTTAAGCCTTTTTATCTAAGTCGTCTGAATGGTTTGCCTAGAAGTTGAAAGACTGCTCTGTCGGACTGCTCGAAGGCGCTGTTTTCCCAGAACTCAATAGAAATTTAAGCTCTTCAAGTCGGACGAAATGGTTTTATATGGATACGCTTTAAAACTTTAGGCTTTTTTCGACTCTAGTTGATGGATGCAACACAACGTCACAAAGTCATCTAGTGCTTTTTCACAGTAGATTCCTCGTAAATTTCAGGATCCGTACTTCCGAATGACTAGGGATGTAGCGCCACGACTTAAATTCCCGAAACCTTCTCTTATTTACTCGACATTCCTCCCAGCTCTGCAGGTTTGTGTAATCTCAGGTGTATCAGAATTTTAAATTTTTCTTACCAGATTTCCCTCCATTATTTTGTTCTGAAATTTGCAGGGTGCCCAAACGAAAATGGCAGCTAGCGATTCGAATTCGTGCATTTACCTCAGTGATACTGCTAAGCAGATTAAAAACAAGGTTTGCTCCGAGTCTTCTTCTAGTTGGTGTCCAAGGACATTGATTTCCTACGCATGTGGCGTATGCTGTTATGAACTGGTAACCAAATTCAGATCAATAAGTACGCATTCTCTGGCGGTCAAGCGTCTATAGAAGAGCATCGTGCGTTAGGAGGAAATTGTGATGTGGATACAAGTTATCAGTTTCTTCGATTTTTCATGGACGATGATGAGCGTCTGGAAGAAATAAGGAAGGTTTGCCTTCCCAGAGTTGCTCTGCTCAAAGCACAGTTCACTTTGGTATATTCAGTTTCACAGAAATAGTAGGAACACAAGTAGTAGAATAATGGAGGTGATACTTCAGCTTATTGCCAAGTTTTCGAAGAAAACGAGTCAATCACATACTCAGAAGAAAATTAGGCTTCAAAAAAGTCGTAAAATCAGTGGTCAGACAGGATTGTGCGACAAAAGTTGCATAGAAGTGGTATTTGGACGAGCTGTTTAAATGTTTGTACTGTTGCATACGGATGGCTACAGTAAGCTGCCTCTGTGCGGTCCCTATCTAGGCCGTTTTCCGCCCCGAGCCCTTTGGAGTCACAGGTTCATCCCAGGATTTCAGGAACCTTCTTTATCGTGGATTTTCTCTTTGAATGATCACTGCCAACGTTGGGAATAGCTTGCTCATAGTTTACATTTGTGGCTTTTATCTAACCTGGATTGAGGAAGTCACTTTTTCTGAAAATGCTCGACGCCAGGCATTAATTGAACACCATACGTTATTCTGTGTCCGGAGAGAAGTGGTGTCAGTGGGAAAGGGTGGCTTTTACATAGTGGTCAAGTTGAATGTTGGCACACTAGTCGTAAAGCTCCTTGATGTACTTGTTTTTCATAATCGGTCTAGCTGATACTTGCAAAAGGCTGTTCATAATCAGTGTTCCACGGAATCTCGAAGGGTAGTACCGAACATTGGTGCAGTCTTCATGGCTGCTTTCATAGTCCGCGATTAGGCCCGCGAGCAAGCGATCGACCGGTCGAGCGAGCCAGCGACCGGGGGACTACTCGTCCGGTGGTATCGACTAACTTCTGTTGTAAACGCAGAGCAGGCGCGCCCCGCGCCCATTCACAAGACAGAGTCTTCTTCGCTTATTACAAGTAACGGATGATATGGATAATGACTAGTCTTGGTAACGGGTTTCACTGAGTATTTTCACGGTTCTTCAGCTGTAAATATTCTCTAAACATTGTAAGAAATAGAAATAGATGTGTGTTGTACCGAAAAAAAGAAAAAAATTCTTCGGAAAACTGCCAACCAGTTGAACCATCATGCTGTTTCGGTGCGGAACCACTAGCTATCTCTCACTGCAATCCTAAATTATTTTGGTTCAACACAACGTTGTAAACAACTATCAGAAAAGAAATGAGTAGACTTTCTCGTTTTCTTATAAGGAGATATGTTTTTCAGCAGTATACGTCTGGTGAGATGCTGACTGGAGAGCTGAAAAAACTGGCTATCGAAGAGGTCACAAAAGTAATAATGGAAATGCAAGAACGACGAAAAAATGTAACGGATGAGACGTTGGACGAATTTTTAAAGATTCGACCGCTCAAATACAAATATTAGAGTTAATATCGATGATAGTTATAACTCCTGATCCGTTTTTATCAACTTGATTTGTGATTAAGTTCATTGGCCATTCCAGCACACGATAATCAACGAAAAAAAGTGCCCTATTGTTGTGACATTGGGAACCGTTTTGGCGCTAGAACTGAGGTTATCGGGACGGGGCATTACCCCACATAATCAAAGCGCATTCTGTTGGGAAAGCATGTGATGTGGAAGCTGCGCTGACAAATCACATTTGAATCACTTAATCAATAGAGTTTCTCACGAGTTTGACAATACCATAGTGGCTGTGCACAACCGATTGAATTGCTTTCACTCACAGGGCCGAATCTGGTGGTCAGAGAGTAGCGGATTTGCTGAGATATTAGCTATTAAGTTATTTATTAGCCTCAAGTGAGTTGTGTCAATAAGGTGATTCCAATGAAGCTTCTCGAGAGCGCACCTAGGCACATTGGATCGTTCGAATGACGAGGAAGCAGTGGGGAAGTCCGTTGTGCTGAGAAACAAATATAGGCTTGGTTTAACTTAAATCCTAATTTTGTTACTTTTCAAAAGCATGTCTCAATCATATTTTCCCCTTTACTGTGGTATTTCCTAGTGTGGTTTTTTGTATTCTTTTTCTGTGGGAGCTCTATGCATGGTTTTGGTTTGTTGGAAGAAGGTTGTCATGATATGGGGGGTATACTGTTGGGCACTTTACCATGGCAATTGTTACTGTTTTGCTAGCGATTTCAGTCATGCAATTTGTTGTTGCTTGTTTATTTCTTTTCTATTAGCAGTTTTTTTNNNNTTTTTTTACGTTAATTGGTCTGTTCCCCTTGAATTGTAACGGTCCTTGTCGAGCTTCACCATCTAGCTGGCCTTAGTGCAAGAAAGTGGTACTGCAATGAGGAAATGACAAATGTGTGTATCGCGCTGTTGTAAAATCCCATTATAATTGGAGTCAGCTGGATTCGTTTCATCTGTGATGTAGTTCCAGATGGCTTTATTCCAGATTGTTTACTTCAGATGGCTTTTAAGCTCGGAATTCTGAATTTTCATGATTTTTGAGGGCTTTGTTGATCGACATGTTATTTTCGCTATATTATGGATTTTGGATAAGAATTTTAATATCATGTGTTGTGGGGAAGTTGTAACAGTTTGACTGTTCATTTGCGGAGCTGGAGCTACGAAAATCGCTTTTGGATGGGCCTTGTTCGGATGGCTTGGTCTGGGGGAGGGGGACTCACTTCTCTGTCCGTTTTTTATAATTTGAGAAGTCTCATTGACTGTTTTCCGGTTTTTCTTCATACTTATCATTTGAGAAACATTTCAAGCGGAGTGCAATTTCTAAGTAAAACTAATTGAAATGTGTTCAAAAGAAGACGGCAAACCTGCCGTCTAAACCTAAGTGCCAAGTCTCCACAGTTAACACAGAAGGCGCTATAAACCTAACAGCTCTAACATTCTATGGCTATAAGTCCCTACCAGCTGTTATCAATCCCTGTAATAATAATTCACGGTCTGTTCACGCTCCACGCCACCTACCAGAGTGCTAAAGTTTCAAAGTTAACACGAGTTGAATGACGGATTCTGCGGCATTAGCCTTTTAAGGCTCCTTATTTGTTCCTCAATTGTTATTACTATTACCTACCATCAATGCTCCTACCCTTCCGCTTGTACTCCTACCTAATATGAACGGTCTAGGTCCACGGAAACAGGAGTTACGATTTTGCAGCCGAACACACACACATACACATACGCACACACACTCACACGCAAATACATACACCGACACACACACATATACAGACGTACATACACCGATAAAGCAACAGGCTTATTTGGCGAATTAGTCACAGCAGGATGATAATGAGACCACTACTTCCCACTTTCACCAGTTGTGTTTTCTGACAGTGTTGTAGAGAAGGCCCCCCCCCCCTTTCTTCAAGCTTAAACTTCTCTCTTCTCTCTAAACTTGAAATGGAGAAGATTAGCTGCAAAATATTTTTGACGTAAGAAAAGGCTTGTAAACATGATATTAAGGTGTCACAGTAGCTATTAGCTTATCCGTAAGACTGATGCCACCTCGAAGCTTCATTGATTTCATTGACTCTGACATTGATACTACAAATGCCTACCAAGGAGTATTCTCAATGAAAGAAAATCTTCGCACAAACATCGGCACGATGAATTGCATATATTATTAGCCGTTTGAGCACAATTCACATGCTAATGCTTCAACACAGAGCGTAAACACGAATAAGTGGCAAGTTTTCCAGAGGAGTAGTACTGAATCTTCTTACTTTCATTGCTAGCTTGAGATTTCTCTGAAAAGATCCGTGATTAGGCCAGCTTCACTTGCCTTGGACCCCTAGGACAGGATAAGGCGAGCAAACCAAAAGGGCTAGCAGACCGTCATGTCAATAACCGATTAACTTCAGTACGGGGGAGTATTTACGTAGGAACAGANAGATACACTTTTTATCGGAAGTTCTAAACCCTATGGATTCTGTGAATAGCCTCGCTATTTTTCATGATCTATAGGCTTTCTTCAATTCTCCAATTTTGCAGTCCTTCACTTCCAAACGAAATTGAAAGCGATGCTTAAGGATGGCTGAAGGCTCACCAACTTCCTTTATGGGATATGCAAATTTCCTAGATTGAATTCTGTCAGGGCGGCCTCCGACGTTCGCACTATCGAGAACCTGATTGAAGGTTATTTAGTCTGAGATAATGAAAAATTTTGGCAGGAAAGTAACAGCATGAGCATCCCCTTCCGCTCTCTGCTTGACGTGGCAGCGGAAGGTGTGGGATACTCCTTCTATGTAGATTGATAGAGCGGGCTTTAACTGATCTATCCTTCAATTGCACTTTTCCTCTCTGATCATATATCATCAGGGCTACTGTGGTAAAGCTATTCTTCCGCTTCGTAGAATATAATATACAGCAGCGCTGAAAAGTATTCGGCCAAACGCTTTTTTGTTCATAACTTTTCTCAGTGGACCAAATCGCACGAAACTTTGATACTGGTATAACTGAAGCTTATTTCACACTATCCGACTCTATTTGACTGCAAGGTAGCAGTATCCACGAGATTAATCAGCATGGTGTCATTCGCATCTTCCGACCTTTTTCTCCTTCACTGTGTTCGGCATCAGCAATCGTACACTTGAGACTTGGCAAAAAGAAACGAAATTTTAGAAGTACCAGTGTCTCTATTTCTAGTTGATTTTGAGTTCAAGCTCTTTGGGACAACTGGAATATGACCAGATTGCAGGTTAATGTTAAAGGATAAAGTTTTTGGCGTTAATCAATCCCGTCTGAGGGATGCGCTCCCGCCCTCGACTTCCATTCAGAATCGTAGTGGCGTACTAACTGCTCGTAAAGTTCTTGGCCGAACACGATATTACTAGATTGGTGCATAATTATTGCAGACTTTTTCGCGGCTTCTTTTCTCTCGATAAAATTAAACTTTTGAATTCGGGATTTTTGTAGAAATAATCTTCTCGCTTCCCTTAATAGAAATGCTTCTAGAAAGTCATCTTCATATACGCCGAATTATGCTCTATTACTTCGAGAAATGTTGGAGGGCGGCACACTCATAACGTGATTTCAACAAACTTCTCGGCGATGAAACAGTCAGTAAAAGCCGAACAAGGGATGGAATCCGCTTCTACGGTTGCCCTATTCACCATTAGAAACTCCTATGGATTATCACGTTGGTCGCCCGTTGAAAAATTGGTTAACGAACAGAACTCCCGACGAAGTGGATGGTTTGAGGGCTAAGTCAAGGTGTGATCGCCTCCAGGAATCGAAACTTCTTCGTCTTTGGAATCCGACCGCCTAGCAAATGGGAGGCAGGGCTTCACGTGGACGGTGGAGATGTTCCAGAGTAATTATTTGAACATGTCTTCGCTAGATATTTCTACCTTTTCTTCAAGTAAAGTTTGCTGAAAAAATCCGCAATAATTATGCATCAACCCAATAGCTTTCATGATGTTGAGGTTGATGCTTATGTGTGGAGAAATGTAATACAAGGCTCACAAACTACCAGTGAACAATGCTTCCATCTCGAACCAGGCAATTCTTGTCTTTTCGCATATTCGAAAAACGATCAAGTAAAATGTGAGATGAAATTTCTCGTTTCTCCTATCAACACGTGTGGAAGGAACAGACCACCCTCCATGCATATGTCTCTTTCGTTTCATTTATTGACCATTACTTCCCTTTGATCATTTCTTCCCGGTGTCTGGGCTGTTTTGGAACCAATTAAAGTTCTCTCCTTTGCAGTGTTTCATTCCGGCACCCCACGTGAACGGAAGCCTCACATGTGCTCTTTTTATCCTGCCCAAAAAAACCCATACAAAATTTGACCCGACCTTTCTAAGTGGTTTGTCAGGTAATATGTGATTCCACAGACGGACAGACTTCTAGCTCCGCCCACCACGCACTCAACCAACGGTGAAGATTCGACCGTCCCTCTCTATACGGCCTCTAACCATATTTCCTGTTTGTAAGGCGTTTTTGAAAGTTATCTAGTTCCTCCACCTCAGCGAACTCTGCATCCACTATGGAAATTCGTCCATCCTTCCTTCAACAATATCCAACCAAATCTTTTTCCTGATTCTAGAACATTTCCGAAAAAATTATGAACTTTTGCAAAAACAAAACCTTTCATCTGGAATTACGCCCCGCCCATTCAAAGCGGAGCTTCGCTTAGTTTGGGCACCCTTTATATCTCGAACCTTACACATTTCTGAAACTTTATCTTTCTTCTGGTTCCCAGGCTTTGGTGGACCTAGTTATGAGCATACGTGACAAGGTAACAAGTACTTCCTGCTGAGGAAAGGAAAGGCTTCTCTCATTGAATGTGCATACAGCATACACACGAGCGTATTAACTGACTTGAACAAAGCTGATTTGCGTTAGGCAGACGTTGTTTAGTAGGAATCTCGCACAGTGGTAATGCCAGGCCCCACGCTATTTTGGGGACTCGTTGAAAATATGTAAAATCA